TAGATAGCATCGTGGAAGAAATGAGCATGAAACTGAGCAAACACAGGGAGGCAGTGAAGGACCGGAAGGCCTGGCACAATATGGTTCATGGGGTCACGAAGAGTCGGACACGACTTAACGACTAAACAACAACAACAATTATGCAACCATCCCCACTTGATATCCTCCAAATGCCTACAACTTGCAGATTCCAGATTCACAGCCACAACTTTAGTCTTAACACAACTGTGCAGGGTGCCAAAAATAGAAGAGGGGTGCTAAAAATAGAAATTTCAAATCTGCTTCCAATCTCTTTCTTTAAATCTCTCCCCCCAGGTTCTGTTCCAGAGGAACCCATCTTCATTATGCCGGTTTTGCATGCAAGGCTCAGAGATGTTTGGGCATGTGAAGTGAAATCAATCTAACGTGTCACTACCTCTCTAGAATTAATGGCATTATATGATACAGTATACAGGGCTTTGATCTTGCACTCCAAATATATTCTGAGAGGTTGTATCGATTTACAAGACAACCCTCACCATGTTTCTGAGAAGTCCTACCTAGTTCACAGAGATCTGCTTCTGAAATACGTATCTGTATTTAGCAGTATAGATTCAATTGCAAACTTTACACCAAAAATGTAATGTCTGGAAGCTCACCAGATTATTTTACCTAACTGAAATCAACAGTTAGTGTGCAATGCCACTTCAGTCAGAATGAATAACATCAGAGGCACGCCATCGAGGACGTTTTAAATAGATCAGCGTGCCTTCTGGCTTTAGGGTCAACATGTAAGCTGATCTCTAGAACTACAGAAGAGAGAGGACCGATGTAAGTCAACAGGAGAGCTGAAACAAGCAGACAGGGTTGCATTATGTAGGTATTAACAGATCTACCAAAAAATGCAATAAAAGCAATACTACTCCCATCGTCCTATGGCGTTTAGAAGGAGGACAAGCCATTAATGAACAAAGGGTCGATCAATTACTAAAATTGGACTGCATAAAACACAGATGCAGATTAGCATTTACAACCCATCAGGGACAGTGACTGACGCAACCCCTGCAATATGGATAACTGGTTATTACGTAGAGTAGAAAACAGAAATATTCTTTTTCTATTTCAGCTCCGTATAAAAAAAAAGATTGTTCATATACAAGGTTATAGATCTGATGGGCTTGTATTTTGGGTGGAGGGTTCTTTTATGTGTGGCCTGGGACAACAGTAGTGCGTCCCACCCTCTCTCTCTCACACACACACACACACACGCACACAAACGGTTTTAATAAAGCTTTGTCGAGACAGAAAGAAAAATCTAAAACAGATGTTCACCCTGGCTTTAAAGACACAAATTTTAAAGGAGTTGATGCCTTCACTTTGTGATTCAAAAGGGGGGGGGGGCTATGGAAATAGTACAACTTAGCATAGACTTCATGAAGCGCTCCCTTTTCTCTACCATGTGAACTCTCCATCAAGAATCTTGATACACAGAACAGCAAACGGAGCAAAGTTGCAAAGAGGAGCAAGTAGAACCTTTAGCTATCAAGCCCAGACAGCCCCGTTCTCAAGTTTTGTTCTCTGCACGACGGTGTCATCATCAGACAGAAACGTATGAAGAGGTCCCTGGGAGAAAAGTGACAAGGTCAGAAGATGGGCCAGTCGCTTTTGGGGAGACGGGCGGCTAATAACTTTGCTAAATCAATAAAGAAAGTAAAGAAACGCGCAGAGAAGCGCAAGAAGAATCTGGAGTTTCTGGGGCTCATGCCAAGCCAAGAGAAGGGATGGACCCAACGGAGCCGTTTGGAAGACCGGCAACTTTAGGGAAAGCAGAGAGCCAGAATGAATGGGAGAGAGAAAAAACGAGTGGAATTCAAAGTTACCCAAGATCTACCCTGACCGGGAAACAAAGCTGTTGAATGGGGGCTGGTCCTTCTGTGGGCGCTTCCAGGGTTTGCAAGAACGAGTGGCCCAAAGGGACCACACCACGCGTCTTTGTAACACAACTGGCGGAGGAGGATAGAAACGGAGCAAGAAGGAAGATGCCTCGCAGGGCTGGTTTTTTTTTTCCCCCTTCTGTGATCAAGGATGAAGGCTGATTCTATCCAGGCGGGATGGACAGGACGGAGGAAGACGCCTTTTCTTCTGGGAAGAGCGTTTCGAAACGTGCTGGCTTTTTTAGAAGAGGCAAGAACAGAGGTAAGGGTTTGCATCTTGGGGGGCCTTGCAAGGAGGTAAAGGAGAGGCTATTTTTGGGGACTCAGGCTGGAAGAAGGGGTCCAAGGGGTGTGATCCATCAAAAATCTCTGGAGCTGTGTTTCTCAACCTCAGCAACTTGAAGATGGGC